GAAACAACTGGCCGCTGTGATACAATTGTATAATAATAATAAAAAGATTCAATGTTATTGGAGGATTTTAGAAATATTAAAATGCCAGTATGTGGTTATGTATTAAATCTTGGTATATTTTATGATGAAGGATGTTTAAATAATTATAGTCAAATAAAAATGGAGGTATAAGGGTAACATGTATAAATATTTGAATTAAAATACTTGAGTTAATATGAATTATGCTTAATGACTGTGGAAGAGATGCACGAAAACCTTTTGTAATCAACTGATACACTTTCTACAGTATGTAAAGAAGGAAGATTTGATGTGTTGTGTTTGTTTTGAAAATAAAAATAAATTCTATTTTTTAAAAAAAACACAAAGGATAATTTGATAGGATGATTGATATCCGTTGTGTTTTAAGTTCACTTTATTAGTTGCATTATTATTTCTGATCAATGTGTAGGTTATTAAAGGACCTACACATGCAAAACTAGTTCAACTAGAAAATATATCCAGCCCTATTTAAAACCCCTCTTCTTCAAATAAGAATGTGCGTATAAACACTAAAACATTGACACTGAGAACCATTTCCCACTTACCTTCACATCGAGGAGTAGTATTGTAAACACAGCTGCAAGTTGAAGACAGTTGAACACCTTGAACAATAAAATAAGAAACTGGTGGAACAAAACATCTTCACTTAATTGATGCAATTAATTAAGGAAGTTACATATGCGTGAAAGAGAATCCTATGATTATAATGTCATCACAGAGAAATCTCTTAAGAAATCTCAGTTCTGATTTCTCACAATCATAGGGCCTAAAGCAGAGCTCCAGAATCCGACTATATCTTGCTTACTAGGAACATATGGTCCAACTGTTGTAGCTGAATTTTGAGAAAGAAAACCATTGGAAATCTTAAAATACGTAGAGAAGAAATTATTAACTAGTTATAACCTATTATCGCTTTCTTTAGGCAACTGAATATTCCTGAGACTTGAGATATTGGAAAATTCATGGCTTAAAATAAATTCAAGTCATACAACAAAGAACATAGAATAACAGGTTTGGAAGAGATCTTGGAGGTCTTTTAGTCCAACCTCCTGTTTGATTAGGAGACTTTCTATTGGTCCAAGCAAAGGGTTGTCCAATCCTTTCTTGAAAACTTCCAGTGGTCCACAACTTCTAGAACCCTAATCACTCTTCTCTGTAACAGTCCTTCAATACTGGAAGACAACTATCATGATATTCCTAATATATAACAATATATATGACAATAATTATATATTGTCATATATAACAATAACCACCACTCACTCCCTTATTTCACAAGTTCTTGTTTGTTTCTTGGAACCAACAATCCATTCACAGTTAACTCATAGGGATCCTCTATTTTCCCAAACAGGGTATTCAATATCTGGTTGAGCAGAAGATACTCTCCTTGGATGCAGAAGAAGTTGCTAAATTTCTTTACCAAGGAGAAGGACTCAATAAAACAGCCATAGGAGATTACCTGGGACAAAGGTAAGTGCATTGTCAGTGAGTAAACACATCTATGTTTCACTTCCGGCCTTCAGGCCACAGGGAAAATATTGGGTATGCGGAAAAATCCATGTTTCTTATCTTGGTCTTGTTCTCCTGCCAGGGATCCATTGAATCTCCAGGTTCTGCAGGCTTTTGTAGAATGTCACCAGTTTGCCAATCTCAATCTTGTGCAAGCACTACGGTAAGTTCCAAAACATGCAAAGTATCTCAAATATTGAGGCTAGGTGCTACACTAATCAAGGAGAGAAGCAGTCTAGAAGGAAGGAGAAATGTTCCAACAGTGAGAACAATTAACCAGTGGAACAGTTTGCTTTCAGAAGTTGTGGGTACTCTATCACTGGAGGCTATTCAGAAGATTCTGGACAACCACTTGTTTGGAATAGTACAAGGTCTCCTTTTTGAGCAGGGTGTTGGACTAGAAGACCTTCAAGATCCCTTCTAACTCTGTTATTCTATGGCTCTCTTTTGATCTTGAAGGTCATTTTTCTTCTCTAGAGGGGAACCAACTGAGATGCTGCCAATGTGAATCAAATGGATAAATTCTCTCATGCACTCAAGTAGTTTTTGTTCCATTTCTATGCATGCATGCATGAAAGCATGCATGTATGTACGGTATGTAGATAAACTCCAGCCTTGCTATACAAAGCCAATAAGAATTCAAGACTCTACCACTGTGAAAAATGATTCTAAATTTGTGGCATGGAAGAGAAAGCCATCCAATAGTTGTGCTGTGTTCACACAAGATGTTTACTGAGCTTGTATCATAACTTGAACTAGAAGCTATCCAAATGGCTCAAGTTCACAAAATAAATAACTAAGCCACAAAAATGAACCCAATTTTGAGTATACTGTGGAAATCTAGCTTTTAGAATCTAGACTCATCTGAAGTGGTTATGCATCCTTAGATGAACTTAGCTGCTTTGTGTAAAGAAAATCCTAGTCACATGCGTGAAGCCACAATTATAACCCGAGCTTCAGTTTGTTGCAAAAAGAAAGGATTGTCCTCTTCATCTCAGCTAAGTCAAAAGATCAATGCAATTAATAAATTGTCAGATGAAAAACATTACCCGAAGTAGCAGAATTGTTAATTTAACTATTAATTTGAATTTTAAGACCACCTAACTCCTCAGTGATTCTGGGCAGCTTATTTGTAACAGAAAAAAATAAATACATATAAAAGAGAAATTGCCTCAACAGGAAATCAAAACTGGGGTTAATTAAAAAGGGCCCCAACTCTACCAAGGCCTGGGAGACTAACCATGCTTTCATTAATGTCTGGAACATCATAAGAGTAGAAGCTGTATTCATCTCTATTTTCTATGGCAGGAAAAACCTTACTCTGAGCTAAGATTCTGAAGATATGGTTTCCTTTACAGGCAGTTTTTGTGGAGCTTCCGTTTGCCTGGAGAAGCCCAGAAGATTGACCGCATGATGGAAGCTTTTGCCAATTGGTATTGTCAGTGTAACCCAGGCATTTTTCAGTCAACAGGTGAATGGGTGGATGGAGATATTTATTTAAGTTCCTAAAATACTAGTCCTAACAGCGTGGATAGAGATGCCTGTCTGATTTCAATCTGTGCTTCAAATCAATATGTCTATAATACATTTCTGTATTATCTACTAACTTTCAAGCCCAAGATCTAGCTGCTTCAGTTAATGTATATTTACTGCACTGCCTTTCAATGAGTGGCTTAGTGGCTTAAAAGATGCTGGGGAAGGTCTATACTCCAGTGGTTTGAGTCCTACCACTGACTGAGCTCCCATCACTTGCCTCAGCTTCTGCAACCTACTGTAGCAGTTCAAAAGCATATAAATGTAAGTAGATAAATAGGTACCACTTCAGTGGGAAGGTAACAGTGTTCCATGTTTTGCTGTATGCTTCATGCTGCAGTGGGATGTCATGCTGGCCACATGAGCCACAGAAATGTCTTTGGACAATGCTGGCTCAATGGCTTAAAGAAATGGATATGAGCACCACTCCTGAAGTCAGTTATGACCAGTGGAGTAAAACCTGCAGGGATTCCTTTACCTTTACCTTATTTTCAACTCATTGTTAGGAGAGTAATTAAAAGCAACAAACAAGGCAAGAATAACACTGATCACATCCTGATAAGTATTAACGTGAAAGAGTATGCTCTGCACCCCTAAAATAAAAAAGGACTTCCTGATTATAAAAGCCATTAGGGATCTAAAGGCAAAAATAAATAAATAGGTGCCAAGTTGGGCAGAGAATACATGACCAGTTCTGGAGAAACTGGATGTGGAAATTTTGAGTAGTTCGGAGATCTGGTAAATACCACCTCTGGCTGGCCCCGCCCCTATCTATTCTCTGCCTTCCAAGTCCCAGTTGATCAGGAGGAAATGGAGATTTTACAGTATCCTTCCCTTGTCATGCCCACCAAGTCATTCCCACCAAGCCACGCCATGCCCACCAAGCCACGCCCACAGAACCGGTAGTAAGAAAATTAAATCCCACCACTGGTTAGAACTTACTGTTACTGTTTTACTTATTTACATTTATTATGGCTTCAGGAGACTCTGGTCTGTTTTGCTTAAGCTTTGTTACTGTCTTTTTAATATAGTAGTCCCAATATTTTTATTGTACTGACCCAGAAATAAAATCTCAATGTGTGTACAAAATGAGGCCATCACAAAAACATGTAACCCAAACTTGCCTTTGTGATGACAAATGTTTTGGAGAAAATGGTTACCAGCTGAGGTATCAAGGTAAGTGCCTGCTCTAAAGGTATCAACCTGCTAATAAAACTGATATCTGTCTCTCTCTCTCTCTCATTCAGCAATCCACTATTGTCAGCTATTAACTCTACATTTTTCTTTGGCAGATGCCTGCTACATCCTTTCATTCTCAGTCATCATGTTGAATACCAGCCTCCACAATCCAAATGTCAAAGATAAGCCCCCATTTGAGCGGTTCATGTCCATGAACAGAGGGATCAATAATGGAGCAGATCTTCAAGAAGTGCTTCTGAAGGTAAGGTAACAAAATAAACTAAAATTGTCATCCATTTTACTGATATGAACAGACCTTTCCTAATAGATTTCTGGTGGTTTTAATGGTTGTGTGTACTATTCTGTTCAGAAATTCAGTTATCCCCAGCATACTCATTGAATGATAGGAGAATTTGCTTAATTGTATCTATAAATAGCATTGTTTGCTAAGGAAAAACAAATTACTGTGAGGATATTAGACATACACTGTCATAAGTCTAAAGAAGATGCACTAATTTATTGCCAAGTATCCCAAAGAACTAGACTGATTATTTTGTATTCACAGTTTGTAGACCAGATTAGTATATTTTAATTACATTCAATCCTAACAAATGAAGGGAGTACATGAGATGAGACACAAAAGAAAATCATCACATATTCAAGTAAAGAATTCCATCCAGATGATCTTAGTTTTTTTTTTTTTTTAATTTGTCAGATTTGGATGGAACACTAAGAAAGTACAAGGGTGCAGGTTAGATAAGGATTTTTTTTAAAAAAACTGGAAAAATCAATGTAAAATCACTTCTGAATTGTTGCTGAGAAGATGACATTGGATATTGGATACACTAGGATTTGTAATATTTGTGGTAATATTTGTATTTATTCTATGATCTCTAAACTAGATAGGGATATTCAGATTATTTTGTAGTGCATTGATCAAGTATATGAAAGACAAACAGAATCATATCTGATTGTCATAAATGAACATGCCCATCAGCAATGCTCTTCGCGGCTATGTTTTAGTAAACATTTGCATACACATAAGCCTCCTTGGATTAGTGGGAACTCTTGATTATGACAGTTATATCAGCATCTATATATGACCTTTCACTTCTCTACTGAATGTGGGCGAGTGTTGGAATTATACAGTCTTTTTCATTTTTCTTCTTGCAGTGCTCAGGCTCTTAAATATGGGTTTCATAGCATGTTTGATTTGTACTATAGAGCTACAGGTATTTTCTGTAAAAGTTTGCAAACCTGTACAAATTCAGTATCGGCTTTCAAAAATTATCTTGAGACACTCCTGTGCAACTTTGCAAAGGAATCTGAAATGACTTTGTGAGTAAAAACGAAGCTTTCTGAATGAGCAATTGCAGGAAGTTGCAGGGACATTACATAATATATGACATCACATCCCAGTAATCCAAAGTTATTACTTCATTGGATAAGAAATCACTTGTAAAAAACCCAGAAACCTAGCAATAAGTTATATGCACATACACAAAACCTATGGTTCTCTCAGATTTAAGAAAATGTTATAAAATGGAAATACACTTCCTGAGCATATTTGTGTAAGATTTTCATTTCCATTTGCCTGATTTGTAAGCTGGTGTAAGTATGATCTGTCACGTAGGCAAAATCACCAATTTCTGGTGGAAACATTTCTTCATATTTGCTAGCAATGAACATGGCTGTTACACCAACCAGTTGTAGCATCCTTTTGGCTATTTTGTTATTCTGAAGAAAGCAATCTATTATGGCAACCGTCATGTACATGGTCTCTTGCAACAGTTTGAATTTCATCTGAACTTGAACAAGCCAGTCAATTAGGATGGCCCGCATATTTCCAGTAATTTCCTGACCTGCCAAGTAATCTGCTTTCACTGATTGCTGACTCTCAAGAAATTTCAAGTTTCACATTAGATTGAGAGGAATGGCAGGAAAACATAGTTTCAGTGCAGGAAGTGATACACACACACAGACACACACACACACACAAACACACAAGTAAAGAGAAGAACTGATAGAATGAAGTGGTTTAACTAATTTCCTTCATATTTTTGTTTTAGAAAATTGCAAAACATATATCTATCTCATTTTGCTGGATAACAAAGTTTGTTTGGACTCCACTGTATCAGATATACTAGATGTCTGGGGATTTAGTCAAAACTGTACATGTACTCCTAATAACACAATAATATATAACATATGTTTAGTGACTCAGGTTGGTTTTGTCTGTAGGAAGTTAGCACCCACCCCTCTCCTACGAAAATGAAATATTTTAGGAAATATTAAAAATGGGTTAGGGTTATGGAGGCAGAAACTCAGCTCCTCCACACTTTTGTCAATGGGCCATTAAGGCGTGGGCCAGTCTATTCTACATAACAAAGTCTACCTCCTTCAGGCAGAGCCATAATAGGAATCCCAAAATGCTTTCATTACATCATCACCCAGCAAGAGTCAACCAAGCTTGGGACTCAGGACAGCCTACAGAGTTGCCCCTGCATGACCCCATGGGAGTTTGACAACCAATCAGAATACAACCTCAAATTCAAAGCTCAACGGGGGGTATAAATCAGAGGTTTACTGGTTGGTATTGGATCTGGTTGGTATCAGTTCACGTCGTGAACGCTTTGCCAGGAGCACCGGGAGCAAACCGGGAGCAACCCACCGCTGGTATAAATCAATCAATCTTTCCCTCCCTCTCTCCCTTCCTCTCCCTCTCCCTCTCTCTCTCTCCTCCCTCCCCCCTCTCTCCCATGTGCCTTTTTTGCCCAGGACCTCAAACCACGTGGTCCTGTCCACCATTAAAACCATCTTTCCAAACATCCACCATTGTTTCCAGTGTCTTTCTCCCCACTTGGAACTGAACCCAGATGGACATTTCTTCCAACAGGTTTATATGGTTAATTTTAAGAAAGAGCAAATTTGCCAGTTAATACAGAAAGGATTGTCCATTGAAAGGACTGATTCCATATCCAGTTAAGGTCCAAAGAAACCAATCAAAAGGAACAGGTGTTATGGGAAGGGAGACACTCTACCTGAGATCTCAAACCAGGAGGCCTATTACTGTCCAAATAAATAGATACATTGATCTGGTACACCAAATATTAAAACTCATCATGATTTCCCCTTGCTTTCTCTTCTTCTTTTCCCTGGCAGCATTTATTTGAGAGTATCAAAAACGAACCCTTTTCCATCCCAGAAGATGACGGGAATGATCTCACCCACACTTTCTTCAATCCTAGTCGGGAAGGCTGGCTCCTCAAGCTAGGTAACCCACTTGTAATTTGCTAATAAGGGAGGGGAAAAAAACAACCTTGCTCCTGACTTCTACTCAAATGTCTTTTTTCCAAGGAAAAGGGTTGTGTTCCTATTGTACCAGAAGACTGCAGCAGCAGAAATCAGCCAGCCAGCCTTCAGCTGTGGGGCTAGAAGGACCCCTGGTGTTTGGTTCTGGTATATATTTCTCTAGAGACTCCTGCAAACAGCACAAGGCCATAACAGAGTGGCTGATTTTTTGCTCCTCACTTGGCCTGGGTAGCTTGACTGGCATCGCTTAATGGGCTGGAGGAAAGCCACCTGGAGGGCCAGTGGTTGGGGAGAATGCTGGGGACACTTTTTCAAAGGATAAACTGAAAGCTATGTAGCTATGTCGACAGCCAGTCCAAGCCTTGCATAATAAACAGAATTTATGAACAAGAATTGCCGAACAGGAATTGTCAAGAACCAGTAATTTAACCCCTAATTTGTATAGCAGCTCACCATTCAAAGAGAGATGATTTAATGAAATGCTCTTTTCTTTCCTTTCTCATCCATATACTTTTGTTTCACTAATTCATCAACCTGCTTATTAGGATTAAGCCTGTGAGGCTTATTTCTGATTAACAGTGCACTCTCCTTCCTGGCTGCTCTTTGAAGTCCTCCTCTGTGCTCTTTAAAAGTATAAATCAAAAGCCATAAAGAAAGAATAAAGTATTTTGGCTCCAATTGAATCAGATCCATAAGCTTCCTGGGGCAAAGTCCCAATTTTACTTAAACATTATCTCTCCCTTCTTCTTTCACCGAGAAGCCAAGCGATACTGTGAAACCTTTGCCATTCTGTAACTTTTTTAAAGGGAAAGAAATGTACAGGTAGTCCTAGACCAGGGCTGACAAACTTGTGACCCACAAATAGGATGTGTCATGCACTGGCCATGCCCACGCCCGTTTTAGCAAAGGGGGGGGGAAGTCCCAATAGGTCATGTGACACAGCCATGATGATGTGAGCTTGACACCCCTGTCAGGAGTGGGTGCTGGGGGGTTCGCAGCGATTCAGGAGAACCTCTAGCTAAGATTCTGTGCAGTTCAGATAAGCCCCAAATCCCACTCCTGGCTGGCCCCACCCACCCCGCTCTTCCCAGGAGTCACCACATGGCCTATTTTGGATGCCGGTAAGTGCAGGGTGGACCTGGAGGTTCGGGGAGGGCAAAAACAGGCCTAATGGAAGCTCAGGAAGGCTGGAAATGGGCCCATTTCTGGCCTCCACAGGGCCTCCAGAAGCTGGGGAGGCTGTTTTCGCCCTCCTGGAGGTTCAGGAAAAGCCTCCGGAGCACGGGAAGGGCAAAAACGCCCCCATCATGCTGCAGAAGGCTGACTAGGCCACACCATGGCCACGCCCACCCAGCAACCTAGACTTAAAACCTTAAGTCAGAGTTCTGTTGCCAAACAAAGTGTTCGTCAAGAACTGACCTGTTTCCTGACCTTTTATTTTGCCATAGTTAAACAAATCACTTCAGTTGTTAAGTGAATCATGCAGTTGTTAAATGAATCCAGCTTCCCCATTGATTATGCTTGTCGAAAGCTGCCTGTAAAGCTTATAATGATGATCACCCGACCCTGGGATGCTGCAACTGTCATTAATGCCCAAATTTTGATCACATGACCATGGGGATTCTGCAATGGTTTTAAGTGAGAAGACCAGCCATAAGTCACTTTGTTCAGTGTCCTTGTGACTTCAAGTGATCTCTAAAGGAATGATGAAAGGCCAATAACCACCTGCTGTATCTCAAGAAAGCGATTCTGAATGTTCTTATGAAACTTTTCAAGTGTTGGCTTTCTAACACAGTGTCATCTTCAATATCACTATGGGAACAGGATGATATCTAGGGGAGAAACAATGGGATTTGGGAGATAGGCTTGGAGGGCCTTTGGCGCCATTTTGTGAGGTGAATTATTTTTCTGGAGGTAGTACAGGTAGTCCTTGATTTACAACAGTTCTCTTACTGATTGTTCGAAGTTACAACGGCACTGAAAAAATTGGCTTATGACCATTGTTTACACTTATGACCCCAGCAGCATCCCTATTTACATTTGGATGCTTGACAACTGATTCACATGGAGAGTCCCGGGGTCATGTGATCCCCCTTTGTTGTGAAATGGGGCAAGACTCACTTAACTCATTTCTCACTTAGCAACATAAATTTTGGGCTCAATTGTGGTTGTAAGTTGAGGACTTTGTTGTTAGTTGCGAAGTTGTGTCTGACCCATTGCGACCCCACCACTGGCCATGGTGCACATGCGTGCCATAGATTTGCTAACACGGACCTATATCAAATAATATTTGGCTCTTGAGATGGATACTTTTCCTCCGTTTGTGCCCTAAATCAATACTTTTGTTTGTTTTTAACTAGCATAAATAAGTTGAAAAAATTACCTTTACCACAGCAAGAGTTTTAAATATATGGACCTAGAAACAAGTTTTTATACATTGTGCCATGAAATGTAGGATATTATAGGGCAGAATTCTAATTTCATCTCCTTTAATCAGAAGTAGGCAAAATCCCTTTCCTGGATAGGAAGACTCTCCGCTTGGTAACTCATGTCCTGGTTATCTTCTGTCTGGACTATTTCCACAGGCTCTGCATGGTGCCACCCTTGAAAAGTATCAGAAGCTTCAGCTGGTACAAAATGTGGCCGCAAGAGCTATACTGGATGCCCATGGAAGGGCACATGCAAGTTCAAAGTGACCTGTATAGTACTACATTACATAGGGCCAGGCTATCTAAGGAACTGAATGAGCCCAGGTGGCGCAGTGGTTAAAGTGCAGCACTGCAGGCCACTTCAGCTGACTGCTATCTGTAGTTCGGCGGTTCAAATCTCACTGGCTCAAGGTTGACTCAGCCTTCCATCCTTCCGAGGTGGGTGAAATGAGGACCCAGACTGTGGGGGTGATATGCTGACTCTGTAAACCGCTTAGAGAGGGCTGAAAGCGGTATATAAGTCTAACTGCTATAACTGGTTTCACCCCATTACATATGTTGCGGATTCCATCAGTTAAAGAATTCCAACTG